GCGGAGAAAGGTAAAAGAGCTGACGGTCTAACAAGACTGCAATCAAACATGTACCAGATGTCTTATCCACCCATAGCTTGGTGAATATGTCATTTCACCCGGGAGCTGTTCTGTCTACCTCGATCAGATTTGACCTGTGTGATTTTTTGATGGGGGCCAAATAGTTGGGATGAGCATATCTTCCACACCACGTACTGCTATAAATGATGAATCATCACTGTGATATTTAATTGTAGACATTACGCTGCGCTGGATATCGTTCCTTTACGTAATTGACAACTTGACTCACATTAAACGGTAGCTTGTACTGAGCCTCTAAGTGAGGGATAGTCCGGTCAAAATAGCCTGAGATGACACCAAATATGGCAGCCAATCTGCCCCTTTTCAACGAGCATTTTAAATTACCAAGTGCACATATTTTTACCGTGACCCTCCGTGCTTCACCTGTCCCTCCGCCTCAAGCGAGTCCCTTTTGACTCTGTTCACGACGGGACTGATCACGCTCCCTACTTACTGCAGATTTGACTTCGTGTTCCGGACATGTTCGCTGCCGCGTCTGCGTTCATCTTGACTGCGAAACTGTGCTGACTTCGCCTTGCTTCTGTGTCCAAGGCCTTTTAGTGTGGACCAGTTCGTGAACCAGCACCTGCTTCCACACACACCAATGTCTAGTGCTAGCGCGTGCAGACACATTGCGCACCTAGACGAATGGATGGCTGAGGTCTGTGAGAAAGGCGACGCGGATATCTCCTACGTTCAGTGGGCCTAGCTTCAGTGTTACTAACTATTGCTACCCTCTCCCTCAAAGCGCAATTGCTATGTGCCTCAGGTGGGTCTAGGTTCCACAGTCATGTTGGCTTATTGCTCGAATGCTATTGGCTGCTCGATAGCGATTGACCACCCGTTGCGGTCCTGGATCCAATTTCGGTGATCATCGGATTATGTTATTTTTACGCTACGGATGAAGGCTACTGTCTTGCGTATGAAAGCGATTGCATTTTGGATGTAACCAATTGTGTGATGTCATAATTGTGGTAAAGACGCCAACTATCAACCTAGAAGCGTTCATGCACCTTAGGTTCAGCAAGACTGCTGCTTGCTAACCCTCATCTCACTTAGAATAATCTGAACATTGGATCGCGCATAATTTGTATTTGGATGGTTGAACCATACACTTTGTATGTGCTATATCGTTGTAGCATCTAGTGCTTTAGACACGATCCCGCCATTGTATTTTCTTCAATGGCACAACCTCGACAGTTTACCGGACTCTTGCAAATGAGAGTTGGCAAATATCCCACGATGTCGTCATTACGTTATAATAAGTCGACAACTATTCTACTTCCTGCCAATCTTTCATGGCATTCATCTCCCAGCTGTTCTTTGTGTAATCTGCGGCGTTGGATAGTTTTGTCGGAATTTCCCGCATCATCATCAACAAAAGTATATCAGCCATTTGGACTGATGCTTCGATGCCGTATAGCCATGGTGACCTATGGAATAAAGAATAATGAGAGAGAGGGGGGGACTTACCTGAAATCCTTACTGCCCTAAGCAAACATTCAGGATCAAAGTGTTTACATCTTGTATTACCAACAAACCGTCACAAACAGTTAGCTATCGTGCACAGATAAGGCGATACCAGCGAGAAAGTTTCCCTGCGACTTTCACTGCCTCACATTTAATCAGCCATTACCCCATAGATAGTACAGGATACACCTTAAACAGGCAATCCGACTAAGAGACGGCAGCAAACGCGCCACTGATGCCGACTGCGAACCAAGTCCTGTAAAGCTTCGGGCCTCTTCAGACCGAAGTGGCCAAGTCTCACTCCTTAGAGTGGGATGGTCCTCACCGTAGACTTTTAAACACGACCATACGGTCGGAGGGAAACCTCTTTCTGTCGCCAAAGATGTCGCAGATGTAAGAAGGCGGTTCTAGATTTTGCAATACATGAACTGACTTCAATGCTTATGCGCCCATCGTTGCTGATACAGCTGCCAAAGTAAGTGAACTCATGAACTACCTCAAGTCCCTCGTTTTCAAGGGTCAAGGGGTCATCAAGTGGCTGGTGGTCCGCAGCAACACTTTGAAGGTGCGACGTGCATACCAAATAGTGGCACCACTCTAGAGATGCTATTCAGTGTTGATTAGGCGTCCCAACATCGCTAGCCAGCAGGACAATGTCGTCCATATAGTCAAGATCAACTAGCCTTACATCAGGCAAGATTTCAACGTCAGCATCGTGAGACCTCGCAAAGAAACACTCGGTGATGGAGTGCACGACGAAACTGAACAAAAATTGGACGACCCTATCAAACACCAGATATTTTCGGAAAAATATTCGGCAGGTCACCGTAGACTCTGTCGCGGACTGTTGTCTTTGAGTACAGAGCACGTACAATGTTCACATATTTCATGGGATCACCTTTCCGCGCAAATATTTCGAACAGAATGCATCAATCGACTGAATCGAATGCAAAGTTGAAATCGAGGAGCATAGTTATTGTTGTCTTGTGGTGTACGTGGCACTGCTCTAGCACCTACCTTTAGATTGAATATGTAGTCTATACAGTCCGTTCTGGACGGAAACCTATCTGCTTTTCCCTAATCCAGGATTCCCGTTCCACAGTGAGGCGACAAACGCGAATTGAGGCCAGTACTTTTGTCACCAATGGTGTTAGGCTACTACCCTTGTGCTTAACACAGTCGGTGCGACTGCCCTTCTTGTATATTGCCACTATGATCGATTCACACTAGTCAGCCTACACGGTTTTCTCCTTCCTTACATGTTCGGTGCTTTGTTAATCACCTCATCTCCATCCTTAAATATTCAGGTGGGAGGGAATCCGGGCCAGCGGCACAAAAACAAGTGAGGGTTGTTATCGCGTTTCGAAATTCAGCCTCCGACGGAGGATCTAAACTTACCGTCCATGGCTCCTCCTCCATCACCTGAGTAGGAAGAGGTCCGATAACAAGGGGACGACTTTACTGCTCTCGGAATCGCTCCGCCCAACGGGCCATGCGGCGCTCCTTATTGTGAATCAGAGCACCCGCGCTGTGTCTGCTTGCTTCACTGACACCTGGTTTCCCGGGACCATTGGGAGGCATCGGCTGGAATAGAGCGATAGTTTCCTACTGCTCTCGACTCCTTCATTTCTTGAGCCCTACTAGTCCACCAGGCCTTGTGAGCACGCAGACTCCGCTTTAGTTCGCGCCTAATAGTCCGTCCGGTCACATTGTGCGCAGAGTGAGTCGCGGGTTTTCTTCCGGATTCTAACAGGTTCATCGGCCTCCCGAATATCCAGTGACTGATGAGTGGACAATTGATAATGCCACAAGCAGATGCTCCTGCGTCGTGACTGGCGGCCGAGATCCTATTCCACTGACGCTCAGTGTCATTCGGACAAGAGAGCGAGTGTACACAGTTCATCTTCGGAGGCTTGCCTGAAAGTGGGCTGGGACGATTTCTCACTTGCCAATCGGGCAGACGCTTTGTACGCCTCCTGGAAAAGTTCATGGAAAAGCGACAGCGTACCAAGGCATGATCAGAGTGGACGTAAGTACTCCAGAACTAGCGGCAATTCCTGACGGAATCACGCCACACATAACTTTTGGGGACGTGATCTGTTTGGGTCCATCGCTGGCCAGCTACAGGAGGACGCTAAGTGGCACTTCGGCGCCTACTGTGTCTGAAAGCAGTGCTACTAAGAAACAGCTGGTGCTCCGCACACAGCTGTAGCAGACGCTCGCCGTTGTCAGTTCGTTCGGAGTTAAGCCCTTATTTACCACTTAGTAGAGCTTCTGAAGAGTCCAGGCGACCTACTTGTGCATTCATATTCCTTGCAAGTATTATGATATCTGAACCGCTAACACTGCGTAGTAGCGTGTTCAATTCGTGCTAGAATGTCTTTGGTAGCATCAGAACTGCAGTCGGTGGGAGCATAAGCGGAAACCACAAACAAACAGCGTCTTGTACTACTTCGTGAATCAACTTTGGTCGATGTGATCAAACGGCTATTCACTGGAATCCAATCAGCCAACGATAATTTAGCCTTGGAGCTGAGTACGATTCTTACCCCAGCTTGATCAGATGCGGCCGCATAAGTGTCCCCGGATGCGTGTAACTAATAGCGAGAGGACAAGTCGGGCGCAGTTAGTTCAACAACTCCATGAGAGCCACTGATCATAGTTTCGGATACGCAACACACGTCAATACCCAATGTGTTCAACGTGCGTGCGAGTACAGCCTACTTGCCTATTTGTCACAGAGTGCGAACGTTAAATGTCGCCATGGAAACGAGACGGCGTGGCCATATAAGGGGCTGCTGTCGATAGGCGTCCATTGAGTGGTGCAGGAAGGTAGTTGCATATGGTATAATTCCTGAGGCATTACGGCTGCCTTCAAGTAGACTAGGAACTGTAAAACAGAGGATAGTAATGGAGGTTGGGAAGGGAATAAGAGAAACAGGCGGGGAAGAAGGGAAGCGTTAGCAGTAGCATGTTTTCGCTTATTCGTCCTGCTGTATGCCGCAAATAAGACGACCCTTGATGAGCTGCGCGACGGCCCGATGCAGAATGTAATTAACGTTTGAGAAAATAGTCAGAGTTGTATGTGGGCTGAGATACTGTCAGGGTGCCCAAACCTAGACAGGATGACGATTAGGGCCGTCCACCAGTTTTCCGCACGCTAACCACCTGGCGTCGTGCTGACAATACTTGGTTTACTTGCACGATATTTGCTCTTTGGTAATCAATCGGTTACTCGCATTGCCGGTCAACTAACACTGTCATCTCACCGCATTCAAGTCTTCTGCAAGAATCACAAACTGATTCAAACGCGGGAGACCTACACGAAGCTTTTCTTGCTAACGCAGCGATTATTGTCTCCCTGTATTTAGTGCAATGGTTAACATCTCGCCTGAAATGTTCCATATGCCTCTTGATTACGGGTAACGTCGATGTTTTATCAAATCTTCATGTGGTGTTTTCAATACTAGTGCAACTATCGCGCTTGGAAGGCTGCTGACGTATGTCGCACACAAAATCACTCGCTGGTTTACCTGAAAGGAACCAAACGATATTTTCGCTGTCGAAACTGTTCGAAACGGACAACCACTTTTGAACGATACCCCTCCGTCTGTTGCAGGTTCGTCACCGTGTGTTTTTTCTCGCTCATTTGCTTGACTGAGTATTTATCCTCTTCTCAGAGATATTCGTTGGGGTTAGGAAATTTTGTTGTTGCTTCATAAGAAGATTTGGCATGACTCACATTCCCACCAGCCTCTCTTTCACTCTCATCGATACGCAGTCAATATCTATAGAGTATCCACTGAGAATCTTTTGGCTTTACCTGGTTCTGTGTATTAGATTTCGATATGGTTTATTTCTCAACAACTCGAAATGCAGCCTACTTCAGAGCCGATATTGACATTTTAAATTTTGTCGCATAATCGCAGATATACATGACGATAATTAGTGAGGCATTTGAGACATGTATATCTCCTCACAAGCTACCGACATCATTTTTTATGGCCTCACGTTTCACAATTGTGAACATGCTGACACTGGATGCCTGGTTGTTAACGAACATCAAGGAGAATCAATAACACTGAGGGATTAAAGATGGGCTAAAGTCTATAGTGAGAAAAGCAACCTACCGTTTCCCACAAGCGTTGATACACGCGTACCGTGAACACAGCGATTGTGCACGTACTGGCACGGGTACTCCTCTGTCAACTGCTTCCCTGTTTGTCGTTCGTAATGCTGCCGAGTCATAGCCGTATGCTTGTAAAAAGATTCGGAAGTTGCAAATCGAAATTTCCTTTATCTCAGTCTCAATCTCATCAAATTTCCGATAGAGTACGCAGCAACAGACGAAATTTCTCTAAATCATCCACCATGATGACAGCTGCAAATGTGGCGCCAAGTAATTTCGAACGCTGATGTGGTCTACCTCAACAACTAACAAAGCTATTGTAATCTCATTTTTTTCACACCAAAGTTATCTTATTTAACATGTACATCCTATATATATATATATATATATATATATATATATATATATATATGCTGAGGCTGATGTTGCATTCATGATGCTACTTCAGCGCAGTAGGGCTAAATTAACTTACACTTAAATTAGGTCTTTTTAAACTGGATAAATTTCATTCCACTTTATTTGGTTTGTATTGCCTACCTGTTTTTTCTAGTAACTTGCACACATTGCTTACGCTAACTATGGTTATCTTCGTTAACTTTATTGTCTTTGTAGTATTTTTGGGTAACTTGTGGACATTTTGTACTTATCGCGGGTTCGTTGATGATCAACTTACTTCATACACTACTTTAACGAAGAGTTACGTTGGCATAGCCGTATGCTTTAACAGACATTGTATTTGATATTGTTATTTAAAGTGATTGGTTGTTACTTGATATCCCCGGTGTGGCTGCGCTTGATGTGCATGTTGACCTATCTATTACCCACTACCTCGTCCATACTGGCTACAGGTGACAGTTGCTCCTTGCTGGAGGAGACGGAGTGCACTGTCCTTCTGGTTGTGCTAGGCTCGAAGAGTGGTTGCATGCACTCAGTGTGGAACGGACTACGGTCGCAGCCACCGCCTTGTGTGCGGTTAATTCTCCAAATGCAGCATACTTGTGTTTGCCTGTAAAGGAGTGTATGCCGGCTCCGTTGATGAAACGTGGCTCCCATCCGCATGCCTCTCGGTCTTATTCCTTCGGGTTTACAATGGATATGGGGTGTGTGGTTGGAGCTGTGCGTGGAGCAGCGCAAGCTACCCATGGTCCCTCTGTAGGCACAGTCGTTCTGTGGCTGGCCACAGTGACAGGCAACTCCGGAACCAGATGCCGCCAACCATATATGCCACCCGTTTACTTCACGCCAACACCTCCATTTGGCCTACCATGGCCACTGAACCTAACCCGCCGCTAGGCAAGACTCAGATATCCGTTGAAAGATAGGGTGTATAACGCTGCGATTAGGCGGGTGATACTGCATGGATCAGAGACCTGGCCAATTCTCATTGCAGACATTAAACGGTTGGCCGTGTTTGACTTCCGGTGTTTGCAGAGTATTGCTCACGTCTGGTGGAAACACCGAATGAGCCATGTTGAGGTCCGCCAGTTGGTGTCTGGTGCCATCCTGGATTCTCTGTTGAAGCTTAACTATTGTCGGGTAGTTCGTATTTTCCGTATGCACGTTTACCGGCCTCCTTGGCGTGGATTATACGCTGTGGCCGGTGAGTGACGTGGCATACCGGTATGGAAATATTGTCCATTAAACTTGCTCAGCATGGTATTTACCGGCTTGACTAGCCGAACAACCTCCTCGTGGTGCCAGTTGAGCTGTTCGTGTTTACCCCCTTCCAGCAAATAGTTCAGCGGCAGTGTTCCAGGACGTGGTGGGTTTTCGCCTGTCAAGCGTTCTCCCTATAAAAAGCCACAAATCTCCATTTAACAACACTGTGACGTGGCGGTTGTGACTCGCCACCAACTAAGCTCACTCATTGCTTATTCGGAAAACCGCTTCAAGTCCACAGCTATCAAGCATCCATTTAACACTGGCGACACGTTCAAGCACCATCAAAAGGGCAGGAAAACATTTACAAATTCCCTAAACACAGCTAAACACGCCCACATGCACACTTACATACATTCATATATCAACATATGCGACAATCCCATTGTTCCATTGTGCATTAACTGATCACATTTTGTACTCTTAACATGATCATGCCTGTGTAGGCGTGCCTCGCTTAGTGGAGAGTAAACATTTCATTTATTTATCTTCGTGGATGGGCGCCCCGGGCGGGTGCAGCCGTCCAGTCATTGGCGGTTCTGCATTTGATTTCTTGCATCTAGCTGAGATTATTCAACCTCGATCAATATTGCGCTCTACTTTCGTAACCCCTTTTCTCTTTGCATTCCGTTTGCGCTCCTCTATCTCCTCTGTTATTTATCGTTATCCTGGCTACCTGATTTTTGGCATTTGGATCCGCCGCAATTCTGTTCTGCGGTTTTATACTAAAACGCCAAATTACATTCTACTTGACTCATAATGTCTGTCTATTATTTCAGTAACTGTGGCGAATCTCTGTTTGAGAAAGCGAGTATTATTAAGGTGGGTTTTTCATTTCTTGCTCCTGTATCACTCCCACTCTGATAGATTTTGATTCAGCGTTACGCCCTTTATTCCCTCAGTCCTGTGCTTTCTGTTTCACATTTCTTGCAAATATTCTCGGCACTCACTTACTGTGCCTTCATTCTTCATCGATGTGGTCTCACCCACATTAGGGCTAACTATGCAGTGTCGTTACCATTCCTTTTCAACTCGGTAATTCGGGAACTTTCTTTCTTTGCGGCACCGTTATTTCACTACTTACCTCTCTGATGTAGCGTACTATGTTAACTATGCCCACAAAATCGTTTGTTGTTAGCTTGACTGCACATATGGGTATGTTGCATCCAAGCACGGTACTATATTTTAGAACGTTATATTCCACATTTTCTTATGTCAATCAGGTTCAACACAACATAGGGGTTCTGTAGCGATACAATTATCTTGTGATTCACTTATTTGAATATTGTTCTCGTTCAAAATCACATGATTTTACGACATTTTAACGACTCCAGCAGTCTGTCTAATGGATGTAACTGTTATACAGTTGTACTACCGTGATGAAGAATTATCGAAAACCTATGTTCGCTAACATATGTGGGTCTTCGGCAATCCCATTGATGTAACAGTGTGTCATAATGCACAGTGTTGTGTCTGCGTTAGCAGAGTTAAAAGTCCATATTCACGACCCGTTATCGCAGCTACAGTGTAATGCCGACCTTCCTGCCATCATTCTAGCCTTTCTTTAATGGAGACGTAAGCGGAGCACGTAGGCTATCTGTTACTTGCAATGGTCATTAGCACGGGTGTGGTACGACCTTTGACCTTTCCGCCGAATTTGGGGATCGAGTGCGAATTGATCGGCCGGCAAATACAAGCCCGCATCAATGGAATCGAACTATTCCGTCAGTATGGTAAACCCATGGGACGGAATTCACTCACACTGGCTGAAGAGTGGATGACCTTGACCTCCAAAATTAGCATGTTTCGGTTACCAATAAATAGTGTTGACCTATCCTGTAGATATACTCTCTCTATCTACCGTTTTCTGGCCTTTTATATTCACTCGGTTGGCTGGGCGCATGACTAAGCAGTTAGACGGTCACAGTCTCACAGGTGAACTTCGCAGCAGCTGTACAACACTCTTCGTCACTTTTCCACAGTGGAATATACCTCAAAGCTACTCACGTTAAAGCTATTACAGCGATACTCTTATCACATCTGTTCTGTCGGTGCTTTCTTCCACTTAATCAGAATGCTCCTACATCTCTGATAGGATTCGTTGAGGCTTAATGTGATATGATATATTGAGATATATATTCAGTATGTTTAAATCCTATCCAAGGTCAGTACATTTGACAGAGTGCCACGACATGTGGATAAGTGCAACCTGGCGAAGAGGGGGCTGGCCCGTAACCTTAAGGATTACAGGCTTGCCATATACTCTGAGGGTGCGGATTCGAGTCTGCGTAGGGACGGAGCGACCCGTGCTGTATCCTTACTTCCCGTGCGACCGGTGGTGGTTGCGCGGCAGCAAAGCATCGGTGCTGCGTACTGCTGATGCCTTTCGAAGAGAGGAAAAGATCAAAACTGGTAAACTGCAATTATGGGGACAGGCTTTCACATTTCCACCGTTGAGTGTGAGCTTTTGCCATGTTCGTGTGGATTTCCTATTCACGTTTGTTAGTTGTCCGTTCACTCCCAGCTCAGGAGTCGAGAGCGCCCTACTGCCACCAGCTTTGATGTTTGCACCCTGAGACTTTGGCCCCAAACAATTTATTGGCTGCCTTGTTCTTGCGTCCAGCAAACCTCTGCGTACGCAAGGAAGGCGTGGTGAGGCAAACTCTGTGCTGACATTCTAAGCACACGCTTTGGCCACCGAAGCTTACGCTTGGAAGTTGTGTGCCTCGTCAATTGGCAGCGTAGTTGGTGGGGTTCCTGTTTGAAAATTTTTGAGCGCATGGTAGATGCACTTACGTGCTTTGATTGCCATGCTAGATTTCATAATTCGTGTGTTAGGTTACCTGCCGATTCCTATCGTTCTTTGGTCCCATTCAGCATGTTTCATCCAGATTTTGTGCAACGACTGTCTCGGTTAAAGCTAGCCAGGGAAACTTCTAAGGACGCGATGGGGATCGCGTCCAATGTGAGTAGTTTTACACAGGCAAACTGGCCTACATTCCATCCGAATTTCAACCTACCCTTCCTCCCTCTGATGTTTCATTACTTCGCTCCCCTAATGTTTCAGGAAATGCAAAATAAACTGGAGCTATTGAGCCGCTGATTTCGCCATCTGTCAGCTCTAAAGACCCACATGAATGTCCGATGGTTAAGGATCCATGGAAAACACAACGACGGATAAGGTCACGAAACGAAGAGAAGCACTGCGGCCGAAGTGGCTCAATGTGATTTCCGGAGAGGATGTACGGCTCCTCATTAAGCTCTTTAGCTATGCTTAGTATTCTCTTCGCACTCTCCACTTCTGCTTTCGCTTTTCCGTTTAACTGGCTGTGCTGAGGGCTATTGATGTGGTGATCGAATTTCCACTTCTCACTGAAAGCTCCAACTTCCTTAATAGTAAATTCCTACTTCCTCGGTGATTCCATATGGAGAAAAATTGTCGCGCAGCTTGTTCACCACTGGTCTTTGGCGGTGCATTAATACCAAAATAATCACTGTTGTACCGTACTGTGATCAAGTATTCCTTTCCGTCGGGCGTGAACAGGTCATCTGCTACTGCGATTACCAACCAAGTTACTGACTAAAATCATCGCACAGCATGGGGGAAAAGAGTACCTGCACCACAACAAACTTGATCTGATGCCCTGTTCCATCCTAAGGATTAACGACCTGCAGCGTGAATGGTGAATACTGTAAGGAAGCAGCAAAAGGCGCTATCTCTCCGTAGATGCATCCAACATCCCTGTTACAATGATAATTTGCGGAGGCGAGCCTTCTCGATATTTCATGTCGGCAGTGTTTGTCCAGGAATTTTCTGAATTCCGACACCGAATTTGCTTCGACAGTTTTCGGTTAAAAAGACATAACCAATACGCCGTTAAGCGATACCGACGCTTAGTTGCCACGAAACCGCTATCAGTCGCGCGTAGGCTAAGAGTGTCTCGACGGTCACCCGGTCCCTTACGCAAGCTTGAACCCGTGACCTCCGTGTTGCTAGGCAGACGCCCCGTCCTTTCATTCACTGGCCTTGGGTTATCATTTGTGTCATCCCACATTTTGAGATGGTGTTGTAACTTGTCGCATTTCACCTCAGAACAGTGTTTATTCTGCACAACTTTAACCGTGGCCCCTGTATCTATCTTGGAACTTATAGGACGCTTAACAACAGTCAAAGTTGCACATACACCGATTGAATGCAGCCACGTTGTTACAGTGTCCAAATACCTCTTTTATATCTGGGTTATTTAGCCGTGTATATTGGATGATAGCTGGAACATAATGTCCATAAACAGCGTTATCAAAAATTGAGCTACCTGTCTACTCAGTGCATTTTGTGAATGGCACATTGCTAGTTGCTGATTAATATTCCTCGTCGGAATTGGCTCACGTTCATTGATTCTAACTCGGCTACATGCCTTCATAATCTGGATGGCTGAATCCAATTTTGTCAGTCGCATGTCTGCGTGTAACATTTGGACCTGCTCATTTAACTTTACCTTTTTACTTAGATAACTTGGGGATTGGAGGTTTTCAGCTAGCAGTTAAACAACATTGCTCATTGCTTCATTTTCGGTCAAGGAAACAGTCACGTTTAAAACCAAAAGTGCTGAACTAACCACTTAGCAATCGACATTGTTAATGATCTGTTCGTACCTATTGCTTCAGTGTACACCACAGCGTGTATTGAGCATGGGGACTCATTATGCTCCCTTCCCATATACGTGGATGATGCCCTACGATGTGAAACTGCTTTCTGTGGCGCGTCAGCCAAGCTTATGGTTATTGTGCATTGGAACATCTTATTTAATGGGAATAAAAGCCGAAGCTTTACATGACCCATAGGGTGTAAAGAGTTAGGGTCACGTCTTATGAAACGGCCGAGCAACCTTTTAGCGGGTTGGACCGGCGTGTTAGCCGTATCTTCATCAGGCTTCTGTGGTGCTTAGACAGAATGCACGCCGACTCAAGGCGTGACACCCCACCACGCGGTCTCTGATACGGCTAAGGAAAGAAGGTAGAGTAGAAAATGGCGACTCCACGAACATGTAACCCGGGAGTGTTGGGGTTAGAAGAACAGGTTGCTGCGTCTAGTGAGAAGTGGCTGGGAGTTGACTGGGGCGACTTTGGGCCATACGATGCAGAATAGTAGGTGATTTCCTCAGTGCAGATCGCGATACAGTTCGGCAACATGACGGTCCAGGTGAGTCTTGAAATCGGCTACAGTAGATGCCGAGACTAAGTCGACAGGCAGGACGTTCCACGGTCGGCAGACTCGCAGAACGTAGAAGTGTCGTTTGCAACCGGTTGTGTTGACGTGTGCGCCGGAGTGGTTGACCACGAAGATGGGAGTATGAGTGGTGCACCTTGAGTAAATCACGGAAGGGATATCCCGGGTTAGATAGGATTATAAACACAAAGATCAAGTCGCCCCAAAGACGTCGGTATTTCAGCTAGAAGAGACCAAGGCGATGAAGCCGTTGTGGATACTCTAAGTGTCTGAGGCCTGGAATCAGTTTCCTCGCCAGAAGTTATGGGGCTTCAAGTGTGCGCTGGTCTTTGAGCAACCGGGGGCTCCAAATCGGGAAAGTAAACTCCAAGTGAGGGAAAGAGAAGGCGTTTAGGAGGAGGCGGAGATTCCACGGGTCAGTTTGGTCGAAGGCACGTTTTAACACTTCCAGTATGCGGTTAGCAGCAGAGGCTGCTTTTCGATAGGAAGCAGATACAGAAAGATTTGTTTGGGCGTTAATACCCAAATCTCTTTCGGCTGACGAGACCTGGAGAACAGACTCCCGCAAGAAGTATATTGATAAAGCGGAAGGGCGGGTGGAGAAGGCGCGACATTTCGAAGCGTTAAACAGGTTGTTTTCTAGGATTCACTGGTGCAGACGGTCTAAGTGCCTTTGAAGTGCGCGGGTATCGTCCGGAGCATTAATTGCGCGCCAAGCTTGACATCATATAGCAGCAGCGAGCTCTCGACTTGTGTTGTCACATCGTCAATGAGAGATAGGAACATGTCCGGTCGGAGAACAGAACCATGTAGAACTCCGCTTGTCGCACGGATATGGAAGGATGGCGCTCCGTCAACGCGTACTTGGACGGTACGGTGGTGGAGTTAGTTCCAGATCCAATGCATCTGCACTCCAGATATGCCGTAAGACAGTAGCTTGTGTGTTAGGACGATGTGGTTGGTTTTGTGAAAATATTTGGCGAAATTTAAGAAGATAACGTGAGTTTCTGGGCCAGTGTCAGCGGCAGTCGTCCAGCTATCCAGTGCAAATAGCAGGCCAATCAGGCATGGCTGTTGCCGCTGCAAGCCTTGCTCGCAATCGGAATACAGTTTTTGGGCTTCAGTGTGGTCCATTAAAGAATCTGCAATGATCGATTCCGTCACTTTGGAGATCGTAGAGAGGAGGGTTATTGGTCGGTCATCATCATCGTTATACACGTTAGATTAATTTGGAAAATACCTCAGCTATTGTGCCGCAGTACAAAAGACAAGAAGAAGAAAACAACAGAGGCACGCCAGCTGAGTCCCCAGTAACGGACGGACATGGTTCCGGAGAGCTAACAGCCGGCTATCGTTCCGCAAATAGAGACTTATATTGTGCTTAATGAATGAGATCGCGATTGGAGGAGGCTAATCAGGGGGGATGGACAAAGAAACTCACAACACAAACGCCATTGGGGCGGGCTCCAAGCCATATAAGCAACTGTGTTCAACCAAACGTGTTCATCGTCCTTAGGATCGCAGCCAGGCAGTCGGGATGCACCAACCGACGCCAACTTCGAAGTGAGGGTTTTCATTTCTCTCGACCAAGTCATCGCTTAGCTTCCTCTCTGCCTCTTCCAACCGCACCCCCGGCACGTAAACAATGCACGTCTCGGGAGTTGGTGTTCTGGTATGCACAACACGTGGCCCAACCATCGGAGCCTGGTGCGTGATATAATGGTGCTGAGCAGTTCACTCACTTTTCCGGCACCAAATATGCGACGCCGAACACGCTCATTGCTCACGCGGTGCTCCCACCAGACATGAGCTAAGCTGCGGAGGCAGCGATGATCGAACGTGGCTTGCCTCTTTATCTCTGTCGACCTGATCGGCCAAGTTTCACAACCGTGTGATGTCGCGTCTGCGCCACAGGTGGCGGATATTGGCAAAAGTACCTCGGGCTTTTGCTATACGGTTCGTAATCTCAGCTTCGATCCCACGGACGCTACTATAGCTGCCCAGGTAATTGAATTCCTAAAGGACTTCTAGCTGATCACCACCAAGGGTCAGCGCAGGGGTGGGTCCTTGCCAATCTTGGAGAACTTTGTATTTTGATGGAGCAAAGCAGAGCCCATACCGATTGACAATCAGTGCTAGTCGGTCCAGTGCAGTCTGGCACATTTGGACGCGGTCACATATGAGGGCATTGTCGTCCGCATGCTCCAAGTCAAGAAGTCGCTCACCAGGAAGTAGCTCCGCACCTTCTAAGTCGTGTCCAATGAACGCTGTTACTATAACTCCATCAATAGCGAAGTTAAAGAAGAAGGATGACAGCGGGCAACCCTGTCTCACACCGCTGTTTATATTAAAGGGCGTTGACAGTTTGTCATAAACCGTCACTCTGCCCGAGCTATGCGCGTACAGTGCTTTGATAATGTTTACATGTTTATCGGGCACACCTTTTCTCTGCAGGCAGTCCCAAAGGGCACATCGGTCTACCGAATTGAAGGCACCTTTAATGTTGAGGAACACGACAACGTTGGGTCGCCAATAAACATGGTGGTGCTTCAATAATTGACGCAAAGCTAAGATCTGGTCGATGGAGCCTCAATTTCGACGCAACCCAGCTTGCTCTTCGCGGATCTGGCCTTCACGAGCACCAGTCACTTTGTGGACAATGACACAGGCAAGCAATTTAGAGGCAATTGAGATCAGACTGATCCCTCTATGGTTGCTGCATTCCGAACGGGAGCCTCCCTTGAAAATTGGGACTATGACGGAGCAGCTCCAGTCTGTCGCGACAGTTTCCTGCTCCCAATGTTCCATTAGCAACTCGTGAACTCATCTACAAGAGCAAGTCCCGCGAATTTGTAGAGAGCTGGTGGAATTCTATCTGCACTAGCGGTCTTATGCAATTTCAACAGTCTGATCTCACGTTCGACTTCTGCGCATGAGGGCGGATCTTAGGAGACGGCCCATAGTGAAGGGCACTCATTGTCCGAAAGAGAAAACAATGACAGATTGATTAACTTGCCATGCAAAGTGATCGGCCCAACGCTCCAAGCGTTTTGACAAGCTGTTGACTGGCGGTCCATTCTCGTCCCATGTTGTCTCGCTAACACCAGGTCTCCTGCCTATTTCTCGTATCAGATCGAATAACACGATTATTACCAACGGTAGCGGCTGTTTCTATCTCTGATGCACGATGAGACCACCAGGCTTGGCGGTCTATCTTCAGGCTAGCACGCAGTTTCGCCCTGACATTTTTATCTCATTGTATTCGCTTCCAGCTGGAATACGTTGGTGAGCATCCATAAGTTCCAGAGACTTTATCATAACCCATTGTCTAGGCGATTTGATTTGCCACATGACGACGTGCCTGCTGATAGTAACATTTGACAAATATGCGACCAGTAATCTGCGACGGTGTTCGGTGGATGCTTACTCAGCCCAGACGCCAGCGTAGTTTGATACGCATTCGGAACACCTAGCATCGCCAGCTGGCTGGTGTCAGTGCGCTCAGCGCGACGTTGCAGACGTCCGCCGAAACGCACCCGAAGGCCAGCACACGCAAGAGTGTGATCG